GGTTTAGAATATGAATGTAAAGGTTTAATCGAAGAGGCTGATAATGCACTTTCATTATCACTGTAATCAGTATTCTTGTCATTTCGTTTTGCAACTTCAACTAGCCAATAACATCTTATTTTATCAGAAACACTGCCTTTACAATGCAGTGCCAGGTAAGATTCTATGAGTGAAGGTTTTCCCTGTTTCTACTTTCCTTTAATACAGTATTTACATTTGGCGCTATAGTGCCTTTACTATCAGATTTTTCATGGGTAAAATAATTCTAAATATTAGCTCCTGAACGTCTGTCCTTATTTACTATTTGTAATGTATCAGATATATTTTCATATAAATCTTCTATTACAAAGTTTGTTAATAACTGTTATGAAAAAAAAACAAAAACAAAAAGCAAAACTGATTTTTTAAAAAATTTTATAGACATTTATAATGGCAATTTATTTTTTATTTTTTGAAAAAAGTAGTTTAGCTTACAACTAAATCACTTTAGAACAATAATACAAATTCAAAAACCTTTTTTTTTTTTTTTAAACCTTGATTATTCGAGATGGCGTTCATATTTTATTTTTCAAGAAAAGTGGTTTAGCTTATTACTTTAACCGATTTTACATAAACTAACCAACTATAAGAAATAAAATTATAAAATTTTTAATTATTAGATGCAATTAGAGCTTCCGATCAGAAAAATTCTTCTTGTCAACTAAACAAGATAACATTACTAATAGATGTAGGGCAAAAATTAATATTATCACGATAACCATCACGATAATTATGCACATTGATTGGTTGTTAGATTTGGGATTACAATAAATGGTCAATGTTGACCAAAATTAAGTAGAAATATAATTACCCCTTTAGTCGAGTTTATATAACATCGCTACTTGAAAATCATCTTCTGACATTTCTGACCGGGTTAATTCAGATAAAAATAAACCAGAGTTCCAGTTCATGCTCATATGTTACTTTTATTGATTCAATAGTAATTCAATAAACTATTGAATGAATCGGTACTCGGGTTTATTTTTGTCCGAATTAACCTGATCAGAAATGTCAGAGAGTGATTTTCAAAGCAAAGACCCCATATATGTTTTCGCACAGGCTAAAAACACTACAGTAGAGTTTGAATTCGGTCATCCATTTTCATATTAAATTTAACAGATATCTGACAGATTTTACTATTGCTATTAAATTTGCATCCAACAGATAATCTGATCTACTATAGCACTAAATATATTAGACAAGTATTTATACGAATATTTAGTAATATTGAACATTCTGACATTTTAATGTTAGAATTATCGTAGAAAAGTAGCATATTTCTGATATACAATTTTTGTTATGTCCAGAACTTTTATAGAGCTGGTACACAAAGTCTAATAATGCTGGCAAAATTTTTGTAATGCAGATTAATAATCATGTACTACTGTATTACAGGTGTTTTTATAAATTCTGGGATATCTAAAAATTATCTTGTTTCCTGAAACCTTTTCGATCCTATTCTAAGAATCACTTAACTTTTCAAAAACTACTTCACTGACCTTGGGACTTCACTGCGGAAACAGCGAAGTGGTTTCTGAAAGGTTATATGATTTTTAGAACAGAACCAAAAAGGTTTCAGAAAACATGATAATTTTTAGGTGTTCCAGAATTTATAAAAACAGCTGTAATACTTGCCCAACATGTTTAGTGCTGTAGTGTGTTTAGTCTGTGTGAAAATATATATATTT